GGACGGGGGGGGGGGCGCGCCCCCCAGCCCCTACGGCTGTGGCTCACGCCAGCTCCCTCCCATAATATCATCATTTTAGGGAAAAAAAAAAAAGCCAGTGAGGAATACAGCAATTTATACTTATAATCTGCCCTGAAGGGGGATTTAAGGAACAGAAGGAGGACTAAACTCTGGCATGGTCATTAATTTCCATAAATAATACATTCACTTACAGTAACATAGATCATTTCCTGGCCTTGCTAGTTATTTCATGAAACAACTGGCATGTCAAATGGCACTGAAGAATGCTCTGAGCCCCAGAGGCATCTTTGCTGTAAACTGTAGTGTTTAAAGTCATTGTTTTAGAGGCTTCCTATAAGGAGGAATCTACTTTTGTTGCTGTTAAATCTGCTTTATGAAAACATAGCCCTAAATCTTGTGTATACTTATCAGGTGTCACACCATTAGAACAAAATAAACCATGGGATACAGAGGACAAGGGTAAAAAAAGCCAGTATAATGGTTTGTAGGGTATGAGAAGGAAGACATAATTCATTTACATAGGCAATATGTCCAGAACAAACTAATCCTTGCTGGAAAGAGATAAAAGTTCTGGTAAAATCACTGATGGATTTTATTTTATCCCACTTTTACTGGGATAAATTTGAGATAAATACTCATTCTGTCTGTGGTTGCTACAAAAATAGTTGTAGAAAATCTCATTTTCAGGATGCTTTTTTTTCAGAATCTGAGATGCCAGCTGAGTGTTCTTAACCTCACCACTGGAGTATATGAACTCATACTGCAATGACCTGTTTTTTGTTTATATTACACTAATATAAGTGCATTGGAAATACATATTTTATCTCTGTCTAATAATAAGTACCATTATAAAACCAACTCGTTATTAAAGCACACTGTTTGGCACGTATCTGAAAATTCGAATAAAAATGACATCTAAGGTTTAATTGAAAAAGAATCAGAAGCCTCATGAGTTACACAGATGCAACTCCAGGTCCTCCTCTTACAAAAGGAGGCTGGTTAAAGGTCCACTTTGTCTTTGATCTTTGCCCAGTGCACTGGGCAACCGTAACACTTCATTTTCTTCCAAGTGCAGTTTTGTGTCAGGATCAAGACAACTGCAAAGTTAACAGAAACCGTACGCGGCAGCTTTACTTGGGGCGCTGGAGCTGTGGCGAGGTAGTAATTACCTGTGGGAGTCAGCCCCGGGCCAGCAATACGGCACAGTAAAAATAAGCTGCGCTGTCCCTGGAGGTGGGTGGGTTTAGCTGTCTCAGGCTTGTCACCTCAGCACTTTAGATGTTACAAGGGTTCGGGCACGCCATCTGAAAATTGCCAGCGGGGAGATGCGAAGGGCAGCAGAGAGACATCCCAGCCTGGCCCGCGGGCACGGTGGTGGGAGAGACTAACTGACCTCGAGCAACCTTGGCTCACACAAGTCCCCCAGAGAGGCGTGGGGAGCCGGGGACCACAAGTGTGGGTCCAGAGAGGCCATGAAGTGGCACATCAAGGCCATCTGGAGGAGGCGGAGGTGTCCCTCGGAGGGCAGGCAGGGATGGGAAGGAGTGGTGGGGAGCATCAGCAAGGGGGGATCAATGCAGGAGGGAGCAGCAGCGAAGAGAGGAAACTCAGCGAGGAGGCAGAGGGATAAGGTTCGGGAGGAGGAGACAGCGAGGTCTGTCCCACACCCCGTGGCTCATCTGCCAGGAGCCAGCACGGTGAGCGACACCGCTGCGCATCCCTCCTGGGAGCCACGGCAGACAGCGCCTGCTCCGCTGCAAGCGGACGGTGAGAGGCCCTGTCAGCGCAGCCGCTGCGGGGCTGTAATTACGACACCCTTCCCTTTCCATTTGATGCTGACGGGGCTGGCCATCAGCACCAAACCCCTCCCGGCTCAGGGGAACCAACAGCTATAGCTGGGGACATTGAAAATCCTCTGATTTTCCAAAAGAACATTATCTCTGATGCAGAGTACGTATTGATTCCTCAGGCAGATGCCCCCGTTATTTCCTTACACACGAGTATGGGAGAGGAGGTGGACAGCTGGGAGGATGGCTGGGACAGCAAGGCAAATGGGTCAAAACCAGCTTGGCTCCGAGTTCAGCGCTCTCCTGGAAACAAGGCTTTCGCTGAGACCTTTCTGAGCAATTATTTTAGTTATTTTCCCACCCTATAAGCTCCTTGCACCAAATACCAATTTCTCTTCCTTTCTGGCTGTTTTCTGGCTGTATGGTTTTTACCTCTCCAGTGTGTGACGGACTTGCCCCAATGTACTCCTGTAATCTTCTGATTTGTGAAGAGGGGCCAGTGATAAGAGAAGTGCCTGAGTCAACGATGGCTTCGCAGCCATGGGAGCAAAATGCCACCCGGCCCTGGATCTTTATACTGCAAGTGAAAAACAAAGCATCTTTAAGCAAATGGCATACACACTGTGGCTGAAGCAACATATTATTGCTAGCTAAAGTACCGTCTGAAGTTAAAACTAGCTGCCAAGCTTTGCCAGTCTTAAAAGACAAGAACATCTTTAAAAGACAAGAAAGTAATAAAAGGAAGCAGCATGAGGAAGACGTCTTGTTTGCAGACCTGCTTTTCTCTCTCAGGACTCTTACAGCCCTAATCATTTGCTGCCTGACGATGAATTTGTCCTCGCCCACAGGTATGTGTCCTCATCAATTTACGCAGCAGGAAGAGGACCAAAGGGACACTGTCTACTTTGATGAAGGTTAACAGAAAAGATGAGAGCAGGACCTGGAGCTGGATTCAGTTCCTCGGTGCCTTAACCTCTTAACTCAATAGTCCACAAAGAGTCAACTTGACCATAGGTGTAATGTATTAGAACAGATTCAAATGCTCTCCCAGAAAGCAGCTCCCCATGTCACAGCACATTTAGAGAGCTAATCAACCCCAGCCTCATCCTGGCAAACCCCCTCTTCGGGAGGCACAAGGGTAAAACACTGCAGCCAAGTCCTCTTACACCTGTATCCCTAGGTGTTTCTGCCTCTGCTGGTTTTACCTGGGGAGGTGAATTCCACCAGGTATTTCATACATACATACATATGTACATACATACATACTTGTTCAGGTGTATTTGCCAGTAGCTTTTCTCGGTGACCGGGACCCAGTGGATTGAACCTTTGTAGAGGGAATGGTCTATCCCCCCCAGGATCAACTCACCACCATTCTCAGTGTCATCTCCTCTGAAAGCATAAGACAGGTTAACACAGGCATGGGGGTATGCCAGCATGTGCCGATCACTTAAAGAGTAAAAGACAAAACACAGACCTTTCTAAATTCTGGTATGGATGGCTGAAAGGGATTATTTCTAAATAATAAAAAAATAACTGCATCTGTCCCAACTCAGAGCCTCCAAACAACCGCTGAGAAGACTTACTGTAGGCTGCCAAGGGCTAAGATAGGCATCAGGAGCAGATTGAGCCAGTTGCTGCTCTCACCTCCAAATAAATGCTAAATAGATTGGTGGAGTTACAGCTAGGTCCAGATGAGGTAACAACATTTCTTTTCTGAAATGTGGCCACTTGGGTGTAGCACTGCATTTCAGTTCATCTCCACCGGCCAGAAGGAAACCTCTGGCAACTCAGACTTAGTCAGTCTGAGCTGGGAGCATTTCTTTTGTTTATGACCAGCTCCAACAAGAATAACTGTCCATCTAAAAATTCATTGTTCTCCCCAGCACACTTTTCCTTTTCACTCCATATTTTTTGGCGTTAAATCAGGAAAAAAAAAAAAAGGGAAATTACTTTTTAGAATTGAAGATTTATACAGATGCACCGTTAAATTAATCATAGAATAGTTTGGGTTGGAAGGGACCTTTAAATGTCATCTCGCCCAACCCCCCTGCAATGAGCAGGGACATCTTCAACTCAATCAGGCTGCTCAGAGCCACATCCAACGTGACCTGGAATGTTTCCAGGGATGGGGCACCTACCACCTCTCTGGGCAACCTGTGCCAGTGTTTCACCACCCTCATGGTGAAAAATTTCTTCCTTATATCTAGCCTAAATCTGCCCTGTTTTAGTTTATGTCTTTCCTGTGCTGAGGGCTCCAGAGCTGGATGCAATAGTCCAGGTGGGGTCTCATCGGAACAAAGTCAAGGGGCAGAATCACAATTAAAATAGATTAAACAATTAAACAAATTAACAATTAAAATAGATTCACTCCTTTTTGACAGTGTCACTTTAAAGACTGACCTTTTCAGATAGAAAGAGAAGACTGGCTCCTCTACCAGCTGCTGATTCATGATGCTGTCAAACACAGGAAGAGCATTGCCCACTGCTAAAGAGGGGTAGCCCAAGCCCAGCACGCCATCAAAGTGAGCAAGGGCAAAGGTTGTTCCTGGCTCAAACACTGACTCGCCGAAGTCCTGTCCCTTGATGGAGATGTTACTTATCTGTTTGGTACAAAAAAAATCCCGTTGAAATCAAAGACACCATCAATTAGAAGAAATTAGCCACATTTCAGGTCCGTATCAACGAATTCATTCAGCTTATAAAGCCTCGATATCCTTGGGTGACTTGCATCCATATAGCGGGTGCCCATTTGGCAGGTAGGTTGCACCAATTCCTTTTAATGTCTTAATTCTGTGACTTTTTCTTCATAAACCCAGGACAAGACCCAAGGAGACAAGCAGAAAAGCAAAATAAAGTCCTAGGGATTTTTCTGGGCAGCTCAAAGCCGGAGCAGCACCCACACCTCTCAGCACCCAGCTTGGTTGGACTTTGCCCTGCCCTTGCCTAAACCAGGCAAGGTCTTCCAGGGCAAGGCCAGTATCTAACTGCCCTGAAAATGGCTGACCTGGAGGCTGACACCGGTTTTAAGTGGAGGCTCACCTGCAGTGTGTCTTTGCCAGCAACGCCCAGAAGCTGTCCCGTGCCGTACTGCAAGGAGAAGGCTTCCCCTCCGTGCTCATACGAATCCGACAGAAAGGACTTAAATTTCTGGTGCACCCCTACACAAAACAAATGACACTTGTGCACTGAGGGGAGGTCCTGGCAATGCCCCTGCTCCCTGACACAGAACCAGATGAGATGCAGGAGAGCCAGATTTTTGCTTGTCTTATGAGGAAGGTGATGATGGAGGTGCCCATTCCCCCACAGGCACTCCAGTTTTTCTGTACCTCAGAGGTTATTTTGGGTTTTAAAGGCAAATCAAAACAAAAATGGGCATTTCCACCCCTATTTGTAGCTTTCCCAGGTTTATTTTCATGCCTTTCACCCCAGGCACCTCGTGGTACGGAACGGCGCCCGGCAGCTGCAGCTGGCACCTGCCCTGGCTGCAGGTGGCACGGAGCAGCAGAGGCGGAACAGCAAGGCAGGGAGGGAAGAGTGGCCTCAGGGGTGCTCCAAATCCTCCTCTCCCAAATCCCTGCTGCAGGCAAGCTCCTTGGGAAAGGAGAAGTGACCAAAGTACCCGAGACACAAGGAGCACAAGGGAGGGTAACGTTTCTTACTGCATGCTTCACTGATGCAATAAGCAGAAGGGACCCAAAAATTGGAGGAGCCGGTGTCAAACACGACGGTGAACCTCTGGGGCGGTGTGCCAACGCTGACAACTCCGTAGTACTGCGCCTGGGGGAGGAACAACCGGCTCAGCCCCGGGCTGCCTCCCGGTGCCTCAGCTATGCCTGAGGAAAAGGCAGACTTGGGAGCATCACGCAACGCTTTCTCAGAGGGTTCATTGCAATTTCATCCAAACGTAAATGCACGCCACAAGGAACTGTGTCTGGCTCCATGAGTGGCTGTGGGCAGCAGACTGCACTCCAGCTGCATGCATAACAGTGCCACATTTTTAAAGCCTGCTAAGCAAATGCTCAGTAGGGTTCCCCATGAAGTCCATGAACTCTCTTGCACCGACATCAGTGCTGGCAAGGTCAGCCCCAAGACGAAGCCCCTGCATGACCACACAGGCTTTCGGGCAGCTCCCTACTGATGTCAGTAAGAAATCAGTGACGCAAAGACAGCACAACTTGCCTCCACCGGCGTCAGAGGGCTCCGACCAGCTGCACAATTGCCATCACAAGGTGCCTGGGCTTTTTTCTTTTTAATGAGCAGATATTAGCAGGTTAAAAAATAATTCTGTTGCAGAGACTGTATCTGATGTACTGAACAAAGTTCATCCAGTGGATAAAGAAACCACTGACTGTCCTTGGACACCAATTGAGGCTAGAGATAAACCGTGAATATGTGAATGCTGGAGTGAAGAGCTTATCCACATCCCGAATGTAAGTGTCCAAGTGCCCCTATCTGGCCCTGGAAGAGCACTTCAGCATTAAGAGACTTATTTTTAGGAAGAGGCATTCCTGGAATTCAAACGCAGATAGAAAAGCAATCCCCAGTGCCAAGCCTTTTGTAGCAATACAAATATTTGAATACGTATCTTCAAGTACATGCTTGTCAATTAATACACTGAATATACTTTCTGACCCTGAAGTTTATGGTCTGAATGAGATAATCATGAAAAGGCAAGCAAGCACACCATTTAACAGAATATCCAGCTATACAGCAGGATTTTATTCCTTACTCTGTTAAACAAACCTTTATTGATTAATCTGTAAAGTGAGGCATCTCTAAGACATGTTGATCAAAAAAACCGCCAAAAAACCTCACAAACACACCACATTGAAACCTCTACAAATCTGTTACTGGTGCTAGCTGGATATGCAAGCTCTGTGGGTTTTGTTTTCTTATTTTGATATTTATCCCTCTTTGATAAGCTTTAGAGCAGGCTGGAATGTTTCAGTCTCCTTTGATCTTCTTCACAAAAATCTTTAGCTCATCTTGACATATTCCTTTATGGCCCTCAAGTGTCAGGAAGTTCTTGCTGAATTAATTTGCCTTTCCCTTCCCTGTTCAGATGCAGTCTCCACAAAATTTCGGCAACTTATCTTTCCTTTAAATAAGCATAACAAGAACCGAATAAAATAGAAAACAGCAGACCAACCAAATGGACAAAAAGCTAAACCCAGGAAAGACAGTTTACAAAATGGTTGACCTGCTGACTTGCCAGTCTGAGATCCAATGAAACTTGTATTTTTCCTGTCTCAGTTCAGAGGCTAAATTCAGCCAGGTTAGTGTGAGAGCCAGGTCGGCCTCAAATATTCAACAGACATTAAGTTCAGGAGATAAAAGAAGAAAAATAAAAACTCTATTAGGATCTTTGTTATCACTGATTTATCACTCCACATGATCAAATAAATGAGATTTGGGGGATTTTTTATAACATGCAAACATCCAAGTTTCTGATAAATAGCATATAGCTAAATGAAGTAATCAGATTCTGCTACTAAAAACCCAATCCTGAACCAAGATTGATACAGGCAAACCTTCCACATTTGTCTGGAGATGCAACCAAGCCCAATACACATCTATACAAAAGTAAAACCTGTTACAGGACTACCACTGCTAGATTACAACAAGCTTTCTCCGCAGGTCCCATGCTAACCTAGGCCTCTATGTGCTTTATTTTGCAGACTGGTAAACTAATTTTTGATGATCAAGTATTTATAGCATAGAGCAACAAGCCAGCTCAAGCCCTACAATTTCATTGAGAAACTAGGCTTCAAATGTGCTGAGAAAAAAAAAATCTGCCTTCAAGAGAACAACAAGTCCTAATGATTGCATTACCAAAACTGTACTTACATTCATGTAATCGTACAGTCTTTCTGAAGCGGCTCCTACTGATAAAGCAATATCTGCAGGGAAGCAATGCAGGTACCTCCGGGCAAAAACGTCGGGGTGATGATTCCTCCAAAATTCCTCTAATTCTCCCTTTTCCTTCAACTGTTTCTTGATAGATTTGAATCGAACAAGGGGGATTCTGTGCAAATAAAATAAACATAACAAAATCAACTGGTTTTCCTTTCTAGAGCTCTCATATACTCTTTTTTTTTTTTTTAATTTGTTTCTTTTTTGAGACCTTGGGTAGCAACAAGCACGGGTCACCCTGAGAAGCCAGCTGAGACAGGCACCAGCGATGTTAGATGTGTTGTCTTACCGTTCCACGGCCACGGTGAACGGGATGTAAACTACAGCCAACAGTATCACCCTCATGGCTCCAAGCGGTTCAAAAAAAAGTCTAAAGACACTCATTTACTCAGAAGTCCTTTTTTATACCCTGTTGTCAGCAGAGGGCTGTTCGCCAGGTCAATCAATCACAGGAGGTCAGTGCTTTGGCAGAAACCGATTAATTTGCTCTCAGAGTAACCGCTGGATTGTGCAAATAGTGGTGTCCAGTGGAGGCACTAAGGCACAGATAACCAGGGCACGTTCCAGACCAAAAAGACATTTTACTAACAATCCTTAATGTCTTTTACTTAAATATAATACATGGGGTTAGCTTGGCTTCCGTTAGCAAGGGAAAGAGAAGGCAGTCCAAGGAT